TTCTCAGTAGCTATTCATCTACCATGTGTGAAATGGACAGCTAGAGGGAAGCTGCTGAATAACACAGGGAACCCAGCCTGGTGCTTTGCAATGAATGACCTGGGAGTCGGGGATGGGGGGTGGAAAGGCGGTTCAAGACGGAGGGGATACACGTATACTTACAGCTGATTCATGTCGTTTTAAGGCAGAAACCAACACACTGTCAAGCAATTATCCTCCAATTAAAAACACATTTTAAAAAATGTTAATATGTTCCTGTTTATTATAGAGTTTGATCAAATTTTCAAAGGGCCCTGATCCTGCCCCCTTCCCCTCAAAATTGAGAACTCCCATCACACGGAGACTGGACATGATGCCGTAGGGAAGAACAGGAGAATATGACTGCAATCCTGGGTGGGGTGGAGTGGGGGTGGGGGAAGACTGGAAGAAGTTACATAAATGGGGAGAGATGAAGAAAGCAGCAGCTGAAAGGAGACCCCAGGAAGAGAGAGAGGTGCTCAGGAAGAACAGGCAACTGGAGGTCTGGGTGCAGGTTAGTTCCAGGGTTTAAGATGGAAGACAGCCCAGCGTGGCTACAGACGAGGGCTGGGGGTGAGAAAGTGGAGGGAGGGCAGGAGGAAATCAGGGGAGCAAGCTTTCTGGTTCACCTGTGGTCTCAGAGGTTTGGTAAAGTCTGAGATTCTCTATGCCTCAGAGCAGAGCCCATAGTGTTGAAAAGAGTCGAACACAGCTGAAGCAACTTAGCACCCAATCAGAGCCAAATGTGGGTGTGGGGAATAGAACAGATAATAAAAATTAGGACCTAAGTGCAAAGTGTGAGCGTCACTGTTCATCCTGCCCTTCGCCCCATCATCTCTGACCGTGGAATCTGCCTACCTCCTCTAGAGGCACCCGTGTCATTTCTGTCGGTCCCATCGGAGTTTCCAGTCTAGCCAGGGCAGCTGGGGCATCGCCAACAGCCTGTCAAAGGTCTGCCCCACCAGCTCGTGTTGCTTTCTTGGTTCCAAACATGCAAGAAGCAGATGTTCCCCCCATGGAATTAGAGGCAAGGGCACTGGCATGCCACCCTCGGGCAGTGCGGTCCTCCAACACCCCCACCCCAGTCAAACAAGTGGCCATCATTTATAAAAACACCACACACACTGGGTTTTAATGAGAAAATAATTGTATACTTGCATTGAATGCCTCACAATCACTATAAAACCAAAGCAGGATAATAACATTGAAGTGGTTAACATACACAGGAGAGCCAGAGGATCATTTTCAAACACAGTATTGCTGCTTTTTGCCCCCTCCTCCAAAAAAGGGGGGAAAAAAAAGTCATTTGGGTAAAGAGCAACACAAAATTAAAATTGGCAGCTCACTCACTGAATGCTTAAAATTCAGGAAATTGGTTCTGTCACTAAAACTGGATATAGTCACCATCTCTAAACACGTAGGTTATTTTTTTTTTCAATACATAGTTTAATGACATCCATTCTTCAGTTGGAAAAAATGTTAAATTATTTGTCTTCAGAGACAAGAGTCAACACTGTTTTTAGTGTTCCTTGTTATGCTGTGTGTGTGTTGTGTATATATGTGGACACTGAGCTATATACGGCTTATACATCACTGTCTACGGTGGGAAGCATGCACAGGTGTAAAAAGGCAAGGAAACTGCATGTGTCCTTCGCGTTGGACACAGCCCAGCCTCCTGCCACTGACAGACCCTGTTTCCATAATTTCTGGATGAGAAAGCCAAGGAATGTCAGTAGGTAATCAGTTCCGGAGGAAAGTGGACATCTATAAACACTGTGGGATGGAATACTTTTAGGAAAGCTTTTAACATCTACGGAATCTAAACATTTGTTCTAGCTGAGATTAACAAGATTGCGTGCTATTTGGGGGCAGGGATGAGCATCAGAGGCCAATGTGTGGACAAGCCTCTTCCTCTCAATGGATGAGGCAGGAGTGGTTTTCCTCCAGGTCTGCTGCATCTTCACACAGTTTAAGGGGTTCATTTGGGATCCCAGAGCCTAGCTTAGTGATATGTACAAAGCCATGGCCCAATGTTTCTTAAATGAATAAAAAAACTCAAGAGCGCAGAGAAAACCTGGCTCTTCCAAGGGAACTGTAATGTACCTTTTAACAGGGCTGTAACTCAGCAGTCATCAGAAGGCAGCAGATGGGAACAAGCAAAGGCTGGAGATGTGGGGGCCACAGGTAAACGGCTTTGTGACTGTCAGGGGGTCACAGAAACGCTGGGTTTGTTGCCTACTCAAAGCACGGACCAAAGGATCCCAACTCTGTGACTCTACGCAATAAGTGTGTCTGGTTCAATCAACTGTAGTCAAAGACCGATTTATCTGCCTCCACAGCAACTGCAGGAATTGCGTGGCCTTCTAAGCTTTCTTTTCAGCTGCCCATTCTCTTCTCAAATGGAGGATTAAGGTGGGTACACAGTTTCCTTCAAAACAGAACCAAACACTTCAGGCAAGTCCTGAGGACTCTTTCGAAAGATGGGGAGTCCATCTGTATCTAGTCTGCGGTCACGACCAGATCCAGAGTTAATCCAGAAATCGTGAAGCATGGGACGCTCTGCTCTCCAGCATCCAAGCAGCCCGTGTCCCTGGGCCACACAATGCTACTGTCCCATCAGTGGTCACTCCTGTGCCCGTCTTGGGAACAATGCTGGAAATCCTCAGGGTACTCCCACATCACCGGTCCGGACTCCTCATCTCCTTTTCCTGGGAACATCTGTCTCTGTGCCAGCCTCTCCCACTTGAAAAAAAGAACTCCTAACAACAGGGATCTTATTTGTCACGTACCGCCAGTGGCTAGCACATTTTGTTGACTCTTTGTCCGGAATGCTCAGGGGCATGAACCATTTGAAGATGGCGCTAATTACCCATCTGTAGAATTTGGCTTCAAACTGCTGGTTCCCTTGGCAGTTTCAAAGTTGTAAGTTATCCGACAGTTCCATTTCTACTTTGTGTCCACCACTTGTTTATGAATAAACTTTCCCCTAAAGTCGACATTAGTCTAATAACAGAAGCAAAGATAGTGTGCATGACATCTACATACAAATTTTGTGGAACTGCTACTTGTCAGAATAACCTATTAGCGCTTATGACAGAACAATATAAAAACAAAAAGGAATTTTAGTGAGGTCTAACTTACTTATTGCTTTTTTTTTAAAAAAAAAAAACACAGTTGTAAAACAAAGGGCACAATATTGTAAAGTAATTATCCTCTAATTTAAAAGAAAAAAAAAAGAATGCTGGTCAGTTTTTTTCTCATGGCCAGAGTTAAAAAATTTCTCATCCAGAAATTGAGGGCATTCCATGATTGAATACCCTTATATTGCTTTAAAAGACAGAAAGAGTAAAGCTGGCATCCTTTAGCCTATACTAAGCATGAATACAAAGCGTGAGAATAAATATGAAACTTTCCTAAATGTCAAATTACAAAACTGCTCAAACTCTGCCATTGTGACTCATGCAAACACCATGTTAGGTCAACTTAATATTACAAATACTGTATCAGCTCGGAGCCTCTATATCCTTTTCATAAAAAAGAAATTCTCGATCACTCCTGACACTGGCAAACAGCTTTGGAGGAAATAAGTGAACACCTTTGTCCCATGACCATTCTGGAATTTTAATTCTCACACACACACACACACACACCCTTACTCGTGAGCACTCATGCACTTTGTGAAAATACACAAAGGCATGTGTGGGTACACAGGCGCGCGCGCACACGCACGCACACACGCACACACACACACACACACCCATCTTTAGGATTTGTAGCTGATCCTAAGCCTGCACTTAAATTTCTATTCTATATTTTTCTCTGTATCATCCTGAAAAATACTGGTTGCTCAGCAAAAATAATCTCTCTTACTTCCTCATTTTCCCACTCTTTCTCCCTCCCTCATTCTCTACCTTTCATGAGCTTTCTTTACTGTTTCCTTTCCTTCCTGACTGATCCAAAATAATCTATCATCTTCCTACTCCCTTGAAGGTTCACTTTATATATAAAATATAGTTATAAACACCTCTTTATTTCTCATCTACCTCTCCAAGGCAGAGTTCGCCCTTTTTTCAATTATTGCCACTCTAAAAATACCCCTCCCCTCTTGAACCATGCTGTTCAATGTCTACAGGTTTTATACATGGATAGATTCCTCCACCCCATCATAAAAATAGTTGTTGCCCACTAAATATAGTCTTCATATAAAGAAACAGAATTGTGAAAATGTGTTCTCATAAACTGTAGCTCAGTCAGTATCATAAGCAGACAAGATCCTAAAGCTAAAATAATCTATTTGGTTTGGCTTTCTGCCCCCACTTCCTCAACCTCCTAATGTAGAACAGATTGTGTTTGCAACAGGAAGAAATCTTGTCTTCAAAATACGGATTGTGATCATTCACTGCTCCTAATTAAAAACAATTAAATGAAAGAGATATGGGACAATAGTTGCCTCTTCTGGGCGAACAGAGAGAGAAACCTGATTTTATGGCTGCTGGAGTGGATGGAGTTGGTCCGACACCCGTGCTGTGGCCATGGGTGGGAAACCAGTGCAGGCACAGGGGAAATACCCTCTGCCAGGGGGACAGCCCCAGCTTCTCAGATTCTCCAAATGGCCACACCTCCACTGTTTTCCTCATCACCCAGGCAGCCCGGTCTCGGTTCTGCCTGGAGCAACCATGTCGGTTTGCTCATAATTTCTTTGTCCTTTGGGATCAACTGTGGTCCAAACCCAGGCGATCCTTTGAGTCTCACACACACACAAAATCCTTTTTCTTTTGACTCCCAGGAGCTCGAGTTTGATGGGTGGACTGTTTTTTCACTTTATTTTTCATCACTGTAAATTGTAACTTCTGGCCTGCATAAGGATTGCTGAGTTTGTTTGCACTTTAATAAATATTCTATTAAAATGCTTTGATGAGTTGATTTCTTGGTTTCTTGGGAACCCAAGCACCAAAGAAGCTTCCTGGGTGGAAGGAAGTTGATTATTCATTGTCTTCTTCCTCTTGGTTGGCATAGATCCCCGCCTCCCAGCGCAAAGCCAATGCGCTCTTTCTTCGATTAACCCGCGTGGCCTCAAGGACCTAAGAGAGAAGGAAGAAAATTACTCAGAGTTCATGGATATCAATCATGTACACAAACTGAGTTCTCTGTTTCTTTCGTCCTTTCCCTCCCTCAACAGTATCTAATGAATAAGGAAAGCGGGAAAGTGTCTGAACCAGCTGGAAGACTGGAGAGAATGAAAGAAAAGGAAAGGTGGGTGGTGGGAGGTCCTGGGGGATGCCTTCATCTCACAGCCAAAGTTCACTTGCCATCTGACCCATCATTCTCAGTACAGAGAGATTTAATTTTCCTGAAATGTTCTGCATGTTTCGTTGAACTAGACTTGACCCTGCATCAAGCTTTCTGATAACAAAGCAGATCGCTACACGCTCTAGATGAGTGCAGTCTGTTGGCAATGTTCTGCATCTGCACTATCCAATATGGCAGCCACTAGCCACATGCAGCTACTGAGTGCTTAGAACATGGCTTGTGTGGCTGAGAAACTAAATACTTGACTTCAGTAGCCTCCTGGAACTAGTGACTACCACATTAGCACAGCTACGAATGGTCTTAGTCTCCAGAAAAGAATTTCAAACCACTGAACCAGTGTGGATTCATTCCATTAAGCTTTACGGACCTATGCAAGCTGTTATCTTATTTATATCACAAAAATCTACTTTGGTATAATTAAGGTTGCAAGAGGAATTAAGTGGAAAGAAAAAGAGCTTCTGGGGCCAATAATAAAGGAATCTGAGCATACTGATGTAGCATCAGTGCCATAGGTACTCATAAAGGAAATGGAAGGTGACAACATCGAGGACAAATTGGCTCACCACCACCAGGGTGAGACCACCCTCCCTCTGGTTCCCTAGAAGAGCCTGTGGACTCCAGGAGAAACCTTCAGCCAGTCTGCTCCTGCTTGAGTTTGATCCAGATGACATGTGCATGAATGACATTTAGGTTGCCAACACAGGAGAAACAGTTCAATTTCACAATACTACACCAAAAGCAAGCCCATGTACACCAATCAGGTCAATTATAGTGGTGCCGGCTTAGGATGCGCAGTTTCTGAATTTAAAGAAAAGCCCAGCAGAGCCAACACTGGTTGGTTATCCAACCAATATGGAATGAAGCTTTTGTGTATGTAAAGAACAATCATTTTGGCAAGCAACAGAGATGCTGGCAACTCCAGAGAAGCAAGGAGATGCACGTTTACAGGCAGTGCTGGGAGCCCAGACATAAGCAGATTCTGGACAGATTAAGGTCTGGGCAGGGCAGGGGGAGCAGGGGGAGGCATCTCAGTTTGCTTCTCTGCACCTCTGATAAATTAATGGACTTCCCAGAGCTGCAGTGCACTTTTCTATGGGAAGGCTTCCCTAGTCCTCCCAGAAGGGATGGCTGGACAGGACACATGGGACACAACTCAGTCAGGTCTCCTGAAGGGATGTTCATCGTGAAGAACATAAGCCCTAAAGTGTTCGTGTATAAGCATATCATGGTCACTTAGTCAATATCTAAGAGTAAGACATCAGTAGAAGGATGCTTCCAAGTCTGGCAGAGTTAAATGGCAGCCTTCAGGTCAATGCGTGGTAACATGGTACGGGGAGGCAGTGTGGGACTGGAATGGCAAGTGCTGAGCTTTATTTCCAGCTCTCTACATGGAACGTGTTGCTGCTGTTCATGGCATCTTGTGTCTCTTCTTTAAACTTTATGTATAAAGAAAGTTTACCTATAAACACAACACCTGCCCTATTTCACAGGCTCTTTCAGGAAGAAGGGTAGATTCTGGAGTCCAGGCAGGTCTAAGGTTAAATAAATCCTAGTAACTACATGACCTTGGTTGGGAAGGTTTATTATTTCTGTGCCTCAGTTTCCTTATATGTAAAATGGGGATAATAAAAACTATAGTACCAAGTTGGTCTGAAGAATAAATGAGGCAATGCATGTAAAGCATTTAGCATAGTTCCCAGGGCATAATAAGTTCTCAAACAGTAGTTATGCATTTCTCTCATCATGTGAAAGTGCTTTATAAGCAATCAAGTGGTATTCTAACATAAGGCACTGTGACAAGGAGCTCTCATTGTATAAACAGTCATATGTTTGCCTTGCAGACTGCAGATACAAACTGAATGGTTTACATAAGAGCTAAAAATCAATCTAAGGTTCTGAGAAAAAGTGTCCCCATCCATTTCAGATGGCCTTAGGCCCCATTTCAATTCTCAGTCATGTTAAATAGATTTACTTTACTCTGTTCTTTGGGAACCCATATCAATCCAACTACCCAACCATTTTACAGGTATTTCTTGGGTTTCTACGAAGTGTCAGGCACAGTCTTCATGTTTAGGACAGAAGAGTCTCTTCCTCCTGGAGCTTAGTCACCAAAAAGTGCAATGGGCGGAGAAATGATACTTATAATTATGGAAACGTTCAGTACAGCTTGGGTTTGAACACCTACTTGTGGCAACCCAAATAATTCAACTGTACCAATAATGAGCCCTCTTTTCTTCTTTCATTCCCCTAATTTATATGCTACTTATCATGAGCCTGGATTTCTGATGAAATCTATAAAGTCACGAGTAAAGGCACAGATCAGATAAGCAGCAGAGCATAACTAAAAGAGCCAGTGACCTTGCTATAAAATTGTCTTCAGGTCCACGAGGCTTATGATCTAGGACTGGCTCAGGAGTGAAGCCATCCTACAACTGGCCTTTTGAAGATTCAAAAGCCAAGCCATTGGGGAAGGTACGTAGATGAGTTTCTGCCGCCCAATTAATACAGAGTACTATGTGTATATGTGTGTGTGTGAATAAAGCTTTAGCAAATCTAGAACCCTTGTTCTAGATTTTTGCATATTAACTTTATTTCCTAAAGTGTGTTCCTTTCCGTTCTGGTTTAAGAAAAGCACTTGCCTCCAGGGCTCTGATGATAATAAACACATACATCACGGGTACCATGAACCAGCTGAGGTTTTAATCCTTGCTACTGTTCTATGGGATTCATCCTATTACTACTTGCATTTCACATATGAAAAAACTGAACCAAAAGGAGGTTTAAATAATCAGACTAGTAGAAGGAAAAGTTAACATTTGACCCCAGAACTCTGGGTCAAATGGTCAATGGTCTGGAATACCATATTCCACTTCTGTTCAGTTGCTGGGAGGAATTTGAAGGAAGAAGAATCAGAAAGGACAATATACATTCTCCATAGAAATAGAAAGAAAAAAACATTAAAAAAATAGAAAGACCTGATTTAAGGTTTTATCTTCCACGAATTAATTCAGATTTAGGTCTGGTGGGAGAAAGAAAAAAAAAATCAATTCTCTCTGAACAATCTTCTAATATTAATTTTCCTCTCCAATGCTTAGGGAATTCAAGTGAATCACTTCACTTTGAGTAGCAATCAGCCTAGACAATTTTATTTTGGGGATGTGAAACAAAAGACAGATGTGTTAAGTAATGTTTGTATTAGTATTTTATCCCCCATCTCTTCCACTGAAGGTAGACAGGACCCAGTTTTAACTTCCTTGGATGGATGAGACCAGATTTTCATCAATCTTATGTTGACTCAAAGGGAATGTGGGCTGAGGGTCTAATTCTTAAACTACCTTCCCCCCACTGAGAACCACAGTTAAGACACTGAAGAAGTTCCATGTAATGATATTTGCATTGTCATTTTATACTTTCTGGAAAAAAAACACCACTGATAATCATCAATTCATATCTATAGTTAACTACATTTATTTTGCTAAACATGGAGATATAAAATATATTGTGTTGGCCAAAAAAATTATTCAGGTTTTCTGTAAGATGGTATAGGAAACCCAAACATTTTGGGTCAACCCAATATATTGTGCTATAGGTTAGCATAGCCAATTTGAAGAATAATTTGCAATAGGTAGTGAATATGAGCCTGTAAGCCCCAGAACAAGTACTTTTACTTCTAGATATATTTGTAGACCTTCTTCCATGGGTCACACAAAGAGCTATGTACAATAACATTCATTGATTCATTGTTTGTAATGGCAGAGAAAAGATACAACCTACATTTCCATCACTAGAAGGATGAATCAATACATATGTACTCATTCAATGGAACACTATACACGGCAGCTATGATGAGTGAAATAGAGCTGTAAGCATCAACATGGACACATTAAAAAATGATCCAGACAGAATAAAGCTTATTGGACACTAAAATATGATATATTTATGGAAAGTTCTAAAACATGCAAAACCATTAGATATAATTTACGTATACAGACATATATAGTATATAGTATAAGGATAAAAACATGCATGGAAACAATCAATGCCAAACTCCAGAGAAGTTATCTCTCAAGAGAGAAAGAAATGAGAGCTGGGAGAAGTAACAAGAGGGCTTGAATGGTATTGGTAATATTAATTTTTTTATAAAATATTAAGCAAATATTACAAAATGACAAGAATGGACAAAGCTGGCTTCATTATTTAACTCTGTCATATACTTGGCACACAGGTACATTCTTGGCTCCATGGGATCACGGACATTGTTCAGGTGACTACTATCTTCTCAGAACCTATAAAATGCCTGATGTGTAATAGGTCCTGGATAAATTGTTAACCAGGTGAATGAATAAATGATTCTCTACAATTCTGTACATCTGCAATAATTCTTTTAAAATGAAAATAATGCTATAGAAATAAAAAATATAAAAACCAATATGCTTTCTCATAGCATATAAATAAGTCAATATATATGTGGAAAAGATGGAAAACATTTTAAAATGTGCTTTTTCACAGCACAGGTTTGAGAAATTTGTGTAGAAGGAAGTTGTAGGGCCAAGGAGGAGACTTTGGGGGAAATTTAATGCTTGCAGGAACGTCCAAGACAAAAACACAGGGTTAAAGATGGCAGGGAAGGGGGACTGGAGTGGTTCACAGTTGGAGTAAGTTATCCTAAAGCGATGGCGTGGAGCTCTCTGGGTTTAAGCCAAACCAAGGACTGATCCAACCCAACAGGCCCTGTTCTCTTGAGCTACATGATTTTCTAACCAGACCAGAGCAGATTTGTTATCAGCTTCTAAAAAAACAAACAAAAATCCGAATAGGTATTTCCCTGTTGTTTGCCCTCTAGTCCAAACATCTTCCAGATCCATGAGCAAGGCAAGGCCTTGTCCAGCCCAGCACACAGCACAGCAAAGCACAGTCTCGTTCACCACTGCTGCATACACGCCAACATCTCAAGGCAATCATCCCATTCAGAAAAGGTAGGGAGGAAAAAAAAAACCATCAGGAAACGGCAAACCACGACAGCATGCACTTGGGTCAGGCATGCAGGAAGACCAAGACAAAAACAAGCGGAAAAGTACCTCGGAAGTCACCTTGCAAGACAGTAACTTAGAGGTGTACTGGCAGAGAGGGAAAAACCAGGGTTAGTAAATGGCAGAGACACGGGGAACACCCCTCAGCTGGGGACCAGCACCACGTGGGGGGCGGGCGAGGGGTGTGGGGGGGACAGGAGGGGAAGTGACGTCAGGAGACCAGGACACACCCACACCAAGACTTGCTTCATCTGATATCAGTTTATTTAAAAGTGTATCTTTTGCAGCAAGCAGATACCCTGTTATTCCTCCATAAAAATATCAGATAAGCCAGACTTTGTTAATTCAAGATTTGTCACTTCCATTTGCTATGATCTGAATTAACAAGATTCTTTCCCCTGTTGTTTATGCCACCAGCTGCCCCCCAGCAAGATCCGTAAGGGCCATGTTGGACTCGTTAGAATCCGTAGTCATCTGCAGACAAACAGCCCTTTCCTCCTCCTGTAGGCCCCTCTGGGCCTGAAGCAGCCTTGTCATCTGCTGTCCCATGAAAAGAAGACCCTAACCATAGACAAAGAATGGTCTGAATGCAAGGTCTGTGGAGGCAAAGTCTCTGAACCTGATCTGAGGATGGTGCTGCCATGAGACAGCAAGCAGCCTGCTTCATTTCTACCTTGGCGGGGGGAGGGGTGCCGAGACAGGTTCCTGAGAATGGGGTGATTATGTATGAACTAGAACGATCCCTTAGTTCCTCTAGGAAACTAAAAGTCGCTGTAAAGAAAGCTCAGCGAAAATATGTCCTGGCTGTGGGTGATGAGTTAGAAGGACCGACTTTTGACAGCTCCCTCCAGACTTGTGGTCATGACCTTGCATTTACACCGCATGGGACCTTGAAGGCACTGACTGGTTTCTGGCAGGGTGACCAGAGGCTGGATGGGGAATCATATGACTGTGATCATCAACTGCTTCTTAGGCATTGCACTTGAAAAACCATGTTGCATCATGATCAGACTGATGACCAGGGGCTGATGGATGCGGAGTGCTCCCCTCCTCTGTGCGCTCCTAGGGTGTGTGTGAGAACCTGAGAGAGCTAGGGGCACGGAGCATCACTGAGGGTGACTGAGCCTTCAGCCTGCGGTGTGGGGGCATTGGAGGCAGACAAGCATCCTCCGCCCCCCGAGCAAGAGTTCAGCTAGAATTCCCCAAAGGTGTCATGGTCTGGAAGGAAGAGTGTGTCAGGAATTCTTGGAAAAGTAGTGACATCTAGCCCAGGAATAAATCCAGGAATCAAAGAGGCCTGCTCTTATTCCAAGACAGGCAGAAAAGGCTGAAAACCCTCTCAGTAACTACCTTGGGGGCAAAAGAGAAAGAAAGAGAACAGAGGAAAAGCCACCAAGGGCAGATTCTGTGCGAGGCATGAGGATGGGGCTGAAAGCCCAGGAGGCTGTACTTTAGACTCAGCACAGCATCCCTTCCACGAGAAAGGGAAAGCAAGTCTACCAAACAAGTTCAAGAGCACTCCTGACTCAAGAACTCATTGCCTTCCAAGACTCAGGTCAGGTTGGAGGAAAAACTGGCCAGAAAAACAGTGTTGCCTCAATATCCTTCCTTTGCAAGGTACCAAGAAACCCTACAGGAAATTATGATTCATTAGGACCTTATGAGTTGCATGACTGACCAGAGACAGCTTCAGGCCCAGATAAAGGGACATTTCCATGTAAGATAACATTTCCGGATAGGAGAAACCTATACTATGAGCAGGATGGCTGCTCTGCACAAAAACACCAGGTTGGGGGATGGATGAGGTTGAACTCAGTCCCCCAGTCTCCTCCCCAGCTGTGTAGCCGACTCAGGACTGCATCCTCACAGAGTTTTGGAAAAGGGTGGCTTTTCCTAATTCTCACAAGAGTCCTGTATATGCTGGTAAACAGCCCAGGGTAAGTGAGCCGGGTTGCGGTTAGCAATCCTCCTACCCCAAATTAGCCAAGGGGTCCAGCAAGAGGTGGAGCCTGGCTGAACCTCAAGCATGGTGACACTCATCAGTGACCACGCCAAGCAGGAGGCCCCAGCCCAGGCAGATGAAGACCATTTCTACTGAAGGATTATCCCCTGAGATGGGGAACAAGGATGGCCATGTGGGGGTCACTTTCTCAGAAAAGGTGTTTTTTTTCTGGTTCCTTGTCACTGACTTCATTTCCAACTGCAAAATGAAGCAAAACATCCACAGATGACTTTCACATCACCGAAATAGTGACTCCTGGGCAGATGTTCCCAGAGAGAGATTCATGATTTCATATTTCATCTTCTGTCATTCTCTGAGCCCTCACTTTGGTTCTAGCAGGAGAGAGGCTGGCTGAAGAAAAAGAGCACTACATACTGCACAACTGCCTCAGTGCCACTGCTTGCCAGGGATTCCTTGAGCCAGAGGCGTCCCTCCTATCCCACATGTGATATTTTATCAAGTGGAGAAATGGAAGGTCCTGAACTAGGGACAGGTCTCCAGGCGCCAGTGCTACTCTGGGATGAAGGGATGCTAGAACTGTTTTGATGGTAAGGATCAGTTTTTTTCCCTAGATAGGTTGGCAAAAACTACTCATGGAAACTGCAGGCACAGCTACATTTGTCTTCTCTTTCTTCTCTCCTCCCACCCTCATTAACATCATTGTACCCAGCGCATCACTAGGTACACGTCCCAATTTTGTTTTTAAGTCTGCCTTCTCCTTGGGAAGTTCAGTATGTAAGAATTCTCTTAATTCGGTTCAGAAAGAGCTTGCTACTTCGAAGGGTGAACACTTGGTTGGGTCCTGATCACGTGTGAGCGACTCACAGCTGCCAAGTGGCTTTGGGGAAAAAATGGTGGCAGGCCCAGGTGCTGAGTCACAATGGACCCAGATGAGTTGGGATGATAGCAGCTGGAGGAACTAAGAAGCCACATCTTACCCAGAGGATCATGTATGTGGATGGAGCAAGGAGAAAAGAATTACCAGCTTCTGGGACAGGGAAGCCAGTGACAAAATTGAGGCTTCAAGCCATCCATCTGCTCCCTATGGTTAATATTTTGGTATGAGAGACAATTAAAGAAGGGCCACAGATCAGCTAGGAAAAGAGATGAAGGCTTGTTCAGTCCTACAGTTAAACTTCAACATATTCTGCAGTGATTGATGGTGACATAATAGAAAGATTCCCTGAATCAAAAGGACTAAGACAGGTTAACAGGTGGCTCTGAGATGAAGTCTCACTGATGATCATTCATTTACTTTAGAAGCAACTGTAGTATTCTGTTCTTTTGTTTCTTCCAGACTTGGGTTTCTTAAAAGAGATACAGTAGGTTGGATAGATTTTTTTTCTATCCCTAAGAACTTTCAACAGCGAAAAGCTTGGTTCTCTTGCAGTGTCAATGACAGTGCAGAAGACTTGGCCTTGCCTTTGAGATCTGGGAATACGAACAGTTTGCTTAGTAGGTTTCTTCCTTATCTAAAACGTTGATATACTTGGGAAAAACAAACAAACAAACAAACAGAGACAGGAGTGTGTAAGTGAAGGGCAATCAGTGTTAAAAGGCTGATTCCAAGCAGCTTCCTTCATGCAAAGGGGGAAATACAATCTGAGTGGTATATGTCAGGTGGCTGCCCGAGTGTCAGTCTGTTCGCCTCTGCGTACGAGCAGGCTCTTTACTTCTAGGTATGGTGTTTTCCCCTGACACCTGCCCTTCAACACAAACGGCATGCAAAAGAGATACAGAGAGGGTGTTTCAAAATCACTCGTCTGGGTCACATGCAAAGTGATCCATCAGTCCCTCCATATCCCCACATCCCAGCCAACTTCCACCAAGGTAGCCGATATACGGTGTAAAATCGTACCTAGAGCCATAAGCTTCAAGACGGTCACAGGCTCCAGAAAATACCTAAAGGTTAACTCCGTGATTTTAAAAAGGGCTCAAAGAAGGGCAGAAAGGGTCTTACAGGCTCAGAGAAGGAGCCCCAGCGGTGGAAACCTCAGCGGCAGCCATCAAGGGCCAGGCCCATCCCACTGTACAATACAGGGAACAGTCCAGATATATTCCAGCCCAACAGCGGAGCTGGGTTAGCTTTCCAAGCAACTGAGGCACAAGCCCAGGGAAGAGGAGGCTGAGAGACACCAAGTGGGTCATTCGGCCGCCACAGGCACGCTCGCTTTCTCTACCACTAAAATGTTCAGTATCTGGCTTCAACCGCAGAAATCCTTTAACTCAGCCAACTAGAATATGAAAGGCAGTTAATCAGCATGGAATTCCTACTGTGCGCCTGATCGCCTTCAAGTTTAAGGTGAGCAAAGAATTTATCATCCAAACTGGGGCACTTTAAGAAGGAAAGGGGATGCTATTAATAATTACACGAGGATAAGAGGCAGAAACCAGGACTGTCCTGGGCCAACTGGGACATATCCTCAACCGACCTGAGCTATTTCAGGGGAGGAAGTGGTTACCTCAATAAATGCTAAGAGACAGAAGCCAGCAGACTCCGAGGAAGTTGACACGGACCCCTGAGGCTGATCCCCAGGCTCCTGGGTGTGCAGGCCGTGGGGAACAAGGGCTCTTAAGTCTCTTACTAGAGAAAGAAACCACAGAGCAGATGACTTCCTTCACGGTTGATAGGAACGTCACATGCAAAGTTTTCGGAGTTGAGGGCTGCAAGGTAGTTCTGTGGTTTTTAACCGTCATTTTAAAAGGCTCTTTCCTGCCAAACTATACACACGGGCTTGGTAACAGCCCAAAACACACTGAGTCTTCCGAGCACTGTGTACCTTTTATGGGGATTGCCCAGAGCAGACACTGAAGGATCAGCCTTGTCACAGTTCTCTGCAGCGATCCTGACTTTTTTGGCACCAGGGGCCAGCTTCACAGAAGACAATTTTTCCATGGACCAGGGTCGGGACGGGGGGATGGTTTCAGGATGATTCAAGTGCATTACATTTATTGTGCACTTTATTTCTATTATTATTACATCAACTCCATCTCAGATCATCAGTCATTAGATCCCAGAGGTTGGGGACTCCTGCCTAGAGGAGTAACATCTATACAGAGCAGGTGAGCAATGGTTGTGGTCAGCTCCCTGGTGTCTGTGGGTAATTTCGGGGAACTTACATCCTTCTTTCTGTGTTCCCCCTGCATGGTATCTTTCTACACATCCCATATCTCATGCACAAGCCGTGCCAATAGATTCAGACCACAACTTGGCAGCAAAAGGACCCACTGTTTGCATGATCAATGTTTTTGAGAAACAAGACAAACCCCAACCCAACTCCAGGCATGTTAAACCACACATGTGAAAATTGGTGCTGGTACCATGATGCTGGCCAGACAACCACACACACATCAGAGCCTGATCCACGGTACCATACACCAGGCCGATGTTCACCCTTGGATGCAGGATAAGAGGAAAGGAAGAGAAACTTACACTACTATCATCCATTCTCTCGCGCCTTTTAGATTTGTGTGTCTCATAGTCTTCCATGAGGGTCTGCATCAGATTCTTGGGCCGCTGCGATCCGGCAGCCTCTTCGGGGGCTAAGTCAGGCTGCAAGCTGGGACCTTCAGGTGTGGGGGATGGAGGAGGTTTGACTTTCTCTATTTTCCCTGAAACAAACAACACGAAGAGAACACCCTTTCTAATAAGCTTGTCTGCTCATGACGGCTTTCGGAAAGTAGAGAACACTGGCAAAAAAGCAACCTGTGACACAGAGCGTGGGCACCAGAACGATGGTTAAGCGCAGGTCATTTTATTACAAGGATCCAAGTGCTTGAGGATTAATGTCACAAACGCATCCAACAAAGACCTCAAGGAAACGGGTTCTAAAGTCAGTCAGACCAAAGAGACCTGTCAAGCATTTCGCAAATATATGTCAGACAGATAGACAGATAAGACAGACAGACAGACAGACACTGGCTCTGGTTGTTTTGGGGACATGTATTCTATTCGAATCTTAAAGACCCATTTCTTACAGATAAGGAAAACTGAGGCTCTGCAAAGAGAAGGCTGTGCTGAGTCACCAGGAGGCTGGCGACAGTATCCAGGTTTCCTGGTTTCCTTCCCAGGCTCTTTCTCTTCTATCAGAGGTCACCGATGGTCAGATGGCCAGCCCGAGATTTTTGTATAAACAGCATGTGTTGTAAAACCCCTAAATGAGAACTAAGCCTGTTCTTCCTGGTTTTACACTTATCAGCCAGCTTCACTTTTTACCTTACCTGCCATGGTCCTGAAAGCATTTAGGTTTGAGTTCCCAGACCTTAAGGAATGAACACCAACAACTGCAGGTTCAATGTTGTAGGAAAGGGGTGTGCCAGACTTGGGAAAGGTGAGGTTTCAGCTCTTGAGATACCAAACAGGAATTCTCAGGATGAGATCAGGTCCACAGTCACAGTGGTGTGGTGATGTCAGGCACTCCCGCTAAGACTGTCTGCATCCCATCCTCTTGGGAAATGCCCTCCCTGACTTCTGGCCCAGGTGGGAGTGGGTTTTATTGCCAGAACCCCAAACGCACCTCTGAGAAGTACCTTCAGGTGCACCAGTCATGACGTTTCCGACTATGCCCCCTGTGGGAGACGCAGGGACCATAAACAAGGAATGCAGAGAAAACACACAAAATATATGGGGCCATTCGAGCACAGAAGTTTGGAAGCTACCAGGGGAGGTTCAAGACCCACTTGACCCTCTGCTGCAGACGCAGGAGGGAAGCAGCTCATCTTTCTTTGCCTTACTCCCCAGACTGCCTGATGCAGCCAGCCAGAATCACAAGTGAAGCCTGGGGACTGTGTCTCCACATGGGTGGCTCTAAGACTTTACCAGGCAGAGCTCCTTTGATGGGAGGTGGGAAGCCCCTCAGTTCAGGAAGCTTGGGTTTTAATTCCTGCCCTCTCATGAACCAGCCATGAGGTTGGCTGAAGACAACCATGTCATGTTCCCACTTTAATCTTGGATTGATCACTTAGGTTCTCCAAGTTTCAACTTCCCCAGCAAGGAAATGAGAAAACGGGGAGATGCTGTCTTGGAAGTCTACTCTAACTCAAACATTTTGCTATTCTATCAAGTATATTTGGCAAGAAGATCAACCTTCACCGGCTTAAAAAAAAAGTATATGACCAGCCCATTTGGCAATTATGTAGGAAATGATTTTTAATACATGGGCACCATAACATTAGTAACTTAATGAAACTCATTGCTTTGATCTCAGTTACCCAGATAACTGTTAAAAAGTCTTTTGATATTAACAGTAAGGGTACAAATATTTGAAGGTTTTGAAATCCTCTGGAAATGATTTCTATTTTTTATTATGAAAATTAGGGAATGCTATCATGATGCCAATGGACTTATCAACTATATTAACATTTATGAAGATTTTACCACTCCTGTTTCATCTATCCTACCTGCCTGCCTTCCTCCCACCCCTCTGTACGAAAATATTTGAAGCAATCTCAGGCCTCAGGCAATATAATTCTGGAATACCTGGTATGTATTTCTAAAAATTTTGATTAACTTTTATAATGAAGCTTTGAGAAATAATACAGCCCAGTGGCCAGCACGCAGTTCTAGAGCCAGTCTGCTTGGTTTGAGTTCATTACTTAGCAGCAAAATACCCTTGGGCAAGTTACTTTTTTTTTAAAGTTTTTCTATCTCCATTTCCAAATCTATAAAACTGGAATGTTGATAGAGGTACTTACCTCATACAGTTGGTACAAGAACCAAATTAATATTTATAAAGTTAATTTTTAGAACAGTAAGCATCCAATGAGTCTAGTTATTATTTACTTGGAATCTCAAAGAATAATTATGTCTATGGAGTAACAATGAGCAATTTCCTAGGAAATTCTGCATAAAAATCTTGCAACTCTTTTAAATCTAGAAACAGATACCAAAAGATCAGGTTGGTCACTTTCCAACTGACCTCTCAAGAGGTCCCAGTCATCTCCTACTAGCCGTTCCCCCAGTACTAAACTCCTGGAAAGACAGTCTGTACTCACTGCCTCCAACCTCACCCCTTCACACACACCACAGCAGGACCCCTGACTCAGGGCACTTTGTTTATACTTCTGTGAAAGCCTTTTTCACACACTGACTTGTGTCACATCTGGTTGTTTAAATTTTTCTTCTCAGTTAAGCTATAAAGTCACCTGAAGATAGGAACCACTTCAATCAGAGGCTAAGAATCCCCCTAACTCATCTGAATATACACTCAACTAGAGCAGGACCCTGTCTGCCCTGGTCACTGCCGGATCCCAGCACCAATCGTGGTATTTGGCACAAGGCAGGAGATTCGTGGTTGTTGAATGAACCAGTGAGTCCATTGTGAAATACACATAGCAGTCACTAATTAAATAACTTGTGGATTGGGACAGAATTCCCAATACAGAATCTGGGGAAAGAGTTTAAATGTCTTCCCCAAAGCACATGAAATAAAACAACTGTGGTCTACAGAACCACAGACACGAACAGCTTTGGAGTAACAACAAACACATTTTTACAGCATTTCAATGATAGGTTTCTTCATGTCATTTGATCCTTAAAACAACCTTGGGATGTAGTAATCAGGGTGGATGTCATGACATCTCTGAACAGTTTAGACCCTGGAGGCTCAGATGCTTAACATCAGCCCAAATTATATTAGCTAGCAACAATCAGGGTTAGGTCTGGAACCCAAATTGCGTCGATTGTCGCTAAATTATATAATTGGGTGTGTGCTGAAAGAGAATCCCAGAAGGTGAAAAGTTACTACAGAGAAGTGGTCGGCTATTAAACATTAAAGCCATTTCTTGTTTATTTCTTAGTATTCCAGCAAATCCATCCCTGAAGCCAGTTTTACCGGTTACAACCACTAGAGGTCACATGGGTAACAGGAGCCAAAGACTGCCTTAGCAGGTCTGCAGTGACGGCTTCCAGAGAAGGTGGCTGGGATGTCTGGGAGAGAACAGGTTTCAGACAACCAAGCTCATGTCTGAGCCTCAGGAGAAGCAGTCACAGGTCCCCAGAGAAAGGAGACACTGCACCCCACCCCCAGACCTCTGGTCTGGTTGATACCGGGGGAAGTCAGCTTGGTGGGGCTTCTCTGCTGGGATCTCCAACCACCCTGCCTCCAGTATGGTTCCAACTAAGCCTGGAATTCTCACACCAGCTGAGGAATCACACAGGTCATCAAAAACCTAGTTTGCAGCCCAATCAAGTTTTCCCCTTGATTCGTTGTTGTTGTTCAGTTGCTCAGTCATGTCCAACTCTTTGGGACCCCATGGATTGTAGTAAACCAGGCTCCTCTGTTCATGGGGTTCTCCAGGCAACAATACTACAATGGGTTTGCCATTTCCTTAAGGGGATCTTCCCGGACCAGGGATCGAACCCATGTCTCCTGCACTGGCAGGGAGATTCTTTACCACTGAGCCACCAGGGAAGTCCCTTTTCCCCTTGGTCAGGATGGTGAAAAATGTCTCATGCTCATCCCCCAGCAGTAGACACTGCAGACACCACCATTTGGGCCTCATGACACAAACAAGTAAACAAGTGATGCCAAGTAATTTGTGGTACAGGCCTGAGGAGTCTCTCTCATCCTTGTCTACAGTCCTGGGAAAGCCTCCTGAAATTCCTTGGCCCTTAGGACACTACCCATCAGAATCTTCAAACAGTGATGGTTATCCCTGGTGTTTGCTGGCATGTACCCAGATTCCACTACCCTCCGGTTCCATCTCCACTTGTCTCAACAAAACTTAGTTCTCAGTCTGTTCAACTGGAAAAGGACTGAATAGCTGACAGGAGCTGAAAGTGGCCTCTATTTCAATGATAAGCATCCTGTTATCTAGTTTCTTACCCGGGAAGAAACATACTCTACAAAACATTTCTCTTAAAGAAGCCCAGTTAGTATCCCTGGGGTGTCATGTAGACCTCAGGGCAGACCTGTGTTGGTCTTGGCCAAGAGCTGGTACCTGACATTTACAGAGCAGGGGTAATGTGAGTTTTACGGCTCACACAGGAACCAAAAGAACAAAGCTAGATTGCATAATAAAAATAAATGAAAAAAAAAAAAAGCTAGATTGCAATTTGGAGCGGAGGGTAGAAAATGTTCTCAAGTTTACATCATACACATGATTTTGTCCAAACTATTCCATCTAGAGTAATTTTAGATTTAAGCATTTAAAGGTGTTTGAGGATAAGCAGCTTCACTTCGCAGGACGATGCCAAAGCTGTGTTTCTAAAATCATGACCTATTCACCTTAGCTTTCTAAGATAGTACTCAATGCTGCAAACAGTCAAAAAGTCATTGGTCAAATAAATTTGAGACATACTCAACTAAAGAAAGTTTTAAAGATAAAACAAGATAGATTTTTCTTTATCAGAGGACTTCTCTGAAGTTTTAGTGCTAATATGATTGTGAATCCCTAGTTTTAAGGATGGGTGTACAGGACTTCTCAAATTTATTTAATTAGAGAACCTCATTTCATAGAATCCCTATTAACATCTCAAGGAAAACAGTTTTAGAAATTACTATTCTATACTAGTTAACCATTAACCACCAACTGCAGGCACAAGTTCAGCTAATAATTAAATATGGGCACAAAGCTTATGTATAAGAACTTTTATTACTGTTTGTTTCTTT